TACAAAATATAACTTTTTCCTTCACTGGTCTTTGGCTTGAATATTTTCTGCATTATTTTAGGTACTTACTATAATAGAACTTTCAACAAGAAGTCTGAAATGATAATATTATTTTATTATATTTTAATCATAATAATTAAAATAATAAAAGTCTGCTTTTCAATTTACAATAGTACCTATATTATAGAGGTAAAAAACACATAATTTTTACTTTGCGTTTTATAATCTTATTTATGTCAAATTATTGTAAACTAGCAGCATACCCTCGCTTCCCTAGGTTTCATTCCCAGGCACCTTTTAAGGGTTAGCATGGAATACTAGCCTAGCTAGACAATATATTATATTACAGCTCCGCTCCCTTGGGTAGAAGCATGATGATATACCTATACCCTTCCTCAATAAACGGGCTATCTAATACAAAAAGAATTTTTCAAATCGGATTAGTTGTTCCTGAGATTAACGCGTTCAAACAAACAAACTCTGCCTCTTTATAATATTAGTGTTAATGTACATATATAGATATGAATACATAGTCGAACGAAGTCAAGAGAATATAGCGATAGGTATATAGGTATTTTGTTTTTATTATTCTTATCAAAGTATCTTTTACTTTCGCTCTTGCTTCTTCCGACCACGACATTCTGGCTCAGACGGCATCGTGAATATTCCATGAAAGTTGAGAGACAATAAATTGCGGTGTGCAACCACGGACGCGACCCGCATTTAGGTCACCCGCACCACTCCGCGCCCTGGTCTTATCCATGCTCTCGTCACACCACACCGCATCGGTTACCACAGCACTTTACTGCACTACTATTTGATGTACTTACATTCTCATGTAATCAATAATCAAATATAATAGTTAAATCGGTATTATAAAGAATCATATTTTATTGCGTTATATTTTATTTACTAGCATTGCCCGTGACTTCGCCCGCGTTCAGATGACTAAAAACCAAATTCTTAGGTTTTACATATTAGTATACTCTTACATTGCAGTTTTTGTATTTTTTCTCAAAAATGACATATTTTCCCGCGGTAAAAAGTATCCTATATGTTGACCCGGATAACCAGCTATCACCATACCAAATTTCATCCAAATCCCTCCAGTGGTTTTTCTGTGATGCGGTAACAAACAGACAGACAGACAAAAATTGTAAAAACTATAGATTCGGCCTCTGCATCAATAATAAATGTCTGATTCAGCTTAGTTACAATTTCATTAGGTATATGTATAGATTAATAACGTAAATAAAAATGTATTTCTTCAATGTAAAGGTACATATAACCTGAATAATCACAACTACCTACATATATTTGTGTATATATACAATATACATACATATAGGTATATCTATAGTTCGATAGTAAATAGCGCAGTAATTTAAAATCGGCACAAAATATATTCAAAAATATAGGGTAGATGAGAAATAGATTCGTGAACAAATGGAGCGTCACCGTAAGATGCAACTCCAGATTAAAAGCTCGACCGACTAAACCACGTGAAAATCGTGCAAAAAGAGAAGTCACCCGCGGCATTAGCGGATGAGTGTCGGAGCCATTAGTGCGCCCTCCCACGCCTCTTCTCATCCCCAACCCCCTCTTCCCCACGTACCTCTTTTATTTCTCGCGCGGGGATGAACTCCTTAATGACAAACCTTACTATATCTTTTGTTGAGAACCCGCAAAAGTACGCATTTTGCGGCCCTTTTGTACGGTATTTTTTATTCCCGCACTGTTCGCAGCTGTTGTGCGGCAGATATACAGAGTAGATATAAGAATATTATGTTTTGTAATATAAGAAAATGTTTTTGTCTTGAAAACTAAATCTTTTACATATATTTAGGTAGTACCTAACTTAGTAAGTATACGAGAATATATTAGAGTTATAATTGGTATTATTGTTATAATTATTGTTGCTTGTGAATAATTTTCTGCACACCTATTATTATATCTACAATTAAAGACAATAAAAACTCGTTATCTACGCTTATCTCGCTATTCTGCATTGCGAATGTGCTGTTCAATTATGCAATTAAAGTTTCACTTTTTACGCTGCCAAATTTAAAGAATTATGAATAAGTTATAAGTTATACATTTTTAACGTTGTTTTCTTCGCTAGCTAGTTTGACAAGCAGTATAATTTGAATTAAATTATTTTTAGCACAAAAATACGTTAAATGTAGGTACATTTACTTTTCATATTTATTTATATTTATTTTTTTATTTATATACATATCAATATTATTGAAACAGATATAACTCAATAACAACATCACTGTAAACTTATAGAGAACTAGCATCGCCCGCGGCTCCGCCCGCGTTCAGATGGCCAAAATCCAAATTCTTAGGTTTTACATATTAGTATACTCTTACGTTGTAGTGTTTTGTATTTTTTCTCAGTACTCAATGAGATATTTTTCCGCGGTAAAAATTATCCTATGTTGACCCGGATAATCAGCTATGACCATACAAAATTTTATCAAAATCCGTCCAGTAATTTTTCTGTGACGCGGTAACAAACAGACAGACAGACAGACAAAAATTCTAAATACCATAGATTCGTCCTCTGTATCGATAATAATGTCTATTTCAATAAGATTTTCCAAAAAATATTTAATGTACAGATTTGACTCAGTTAGAATTTTATTATATGTATAAGTAGATAAGATATTATTTTATAAATACATATGTCTAAAAATCGTGTTTATTATTTGAAGAAGCAGATAATTCCTTTTTTGACATCGTACAAGGAAAAGTACAACAAACAAACATGTAACAAAAATCATATATAGATATTTTAGAGAAGAAGTAAGTATCTACTTCATTGAGTACGTATTAACAAAATAAGCTGTCAAGTGAAATAAACTTAAATAAATATTAATATAGTTGTACAATAAAAGTAAAAGTAGAGTAAAGCATTTATAAGAAAAAAAAAACATTTAGCACGCAGATGTTTCACGCTATCGTAATATCGCATGGTGTCGACTGTCGGGTGCGATGCGGCGCGATGGCGGATGTAATGTAATTTGCGGTAATTCGGGCGCGTCGCGGCTTGTTCGCGTCACTTGCCCGCGTTGTACGACCGACGATACATTTATTTACATTTTAACTGAATGTTTTCATCTCTATTTCTCTTTTGCATTGTTAACATCTATAATTTACTATGAATCTTTATTATCATGTGTTATTATATCTAGATTCTAGACATACGCTTATTACGAATAAAGAAAACAAAAATATCAATATTACATTATTAAAAAGAAGTAAAGGTAGATCCTTTAATAGGTAGGTTGTAAAAGTATAAATTAATAAATAATAATAAATAAATATGTTGAGACATTAACACACAGCGCCATCTAGTTCCATGGTAAGCTACGAGGCTTGTGTTATGGATACCAGATAGTTGATACACTACACATATATAACTTTAAATACATACATATTATAAATATAAATACCCATGACTGCAGTACAAACATTCGTGCTCATCATACAAATGAATTCCCCCAGCGGGACTCGAACCCGCGACCGCTGGCACAGCAACACTACAAACTGAGGCAAACATGTCGTAGATTTATATTTTTTTATAAGAATTATTTGTCTTTTAACAAAGTAATATAAGTATCCCTCAGTAAAGCAAAACTTAAGGGGGAATATAAATTGTCAGAAGTCAAACAGACCATTCAGTACAGAATGTACTCGTAAGTATAATTTGTGACAATACGACTGCATTTCTCTCACGTTTTATAGCTTTGTATGATATCTTAATTCTAGGTAAAGGTTAATTATTTTTTGATATTGAAATAATTTTGCAGCTATTTATTAACCTAACTTGTAGGTAAAAATCCAATAATAGGTAAATTGTGATAAAATACCGCTATAGAATAATTGCAGAGCTGTAAAACGTTCTACATTGTTTATTTTACATAAGCCTATAAATGTCAACAAAAAACAAACAGATAATATAAAAGACATTAAAATCAAGAATTCAGCACTATATTAACTTTATGTAGATAAGTACCGGACAACTTATTAACACATAAAAATTACATCGTTTATTAAAAATGTAAATGCACAAGTTGACGTTAAAAATAAGGTGTCATGTTGTAAAAACCACTTTTGTGAAATCAACACACCGATATGAGTGCTTGATATTCAAAAGGCTCATTATGATAATTCGTTCTCGATTCACTGCGAATCTGTGAATAAAATTAATGTGCATTTAAACGGAAAATACGAACAAAGCCAATAAACGCGAGTGGCTCGGGTAACACGGCGATTTATCATTTCATTTGACCGCGTGCATATTGTTTATCGTGTTAATTTTATTTGTTAGTCAGGGCCGGCCAACTTATCGGCTACAATTATAAAACGCTATTATTGAATCGAGTCGCCGCCGACCGAGTCGGAATGTGGAAATATTTTCGAATATCTATTTATATGGAAAACGCGTTCCGATGTTAGCGGTCGGTTAATAATAATTGATTGCTTTCATCTTTATTGAATGTTAATGTTCAATTTATTCATATATATAGATACTAGCGGACCCGACAGACGTTGTCCTGTCTACACGTCTTTAATTTGAAAATTTCAAACTTTTTTTAATAATTTTTTTTTGATGAAAATTATTATTCAAATTGTGAATCTAAACCATTCCCATATCCCCTTGAACACACACAAAAAATTTCATCAAAATCGGTCCAGTCGTTTGAGAGAAGTTCAGTGACATACACACTCACAGAAGAATTATATATATAAAGATGTGAACTCGTTATTTAATAAAAAAAATAAGTAGGTCCTAATAAGAGACAGCCTTTTTGTCATTAACTAAATAGCTTTCATGATAATAAAATGAGATATATACTTACAATTAATATACGCCTTCAAATTACTTTAATCACGATAGTATAATAAACATTAACATGTTGAAAGCTATTTAGTATGAGGTGTCCCATGGCAACGGCTTATTAATTTTAAACCGGTCTTTCGTATTGCAGACGGAGATTGCGAAGAGATTAAATGCAATAATTGCCCAAATACTACCATTCCTCTCACAAGAACACCAACAGCAAGTTGCTTCAGCCGTGGAGAGAGCGAAACAGGTCACCATGACTGAACTTAACGCCATTATTGGGGTAAGCATATTTATATATATATATATATATATATATATATATATATATATATATATATATATATATATTAAATCTATATAATTCCTTATTTATATTTAAAAATGTATTCCTTGTTATTTTACTAGTTAACGTTAATTTAAGCGGCATTTTAAATAGGTACACAATGTACGTATGTATCTATCTACATATTTCGCAAGTAGATATTATATTAGCAAATATATGTATGTAATTTAAAATATAAATAGTATGTCAAAATAAATGTTCGATACTTTGATATTTTGTACAAGAATATATTTGCTCATTGTACTAACATGCGTGATCTTTTTATCCTCACAAAAATTCCACATATAGGTAATAATATGTCGACGCACGTAGCCTTGTTTAGGTTTGTAAATTAGAATATTTACTTTTCTTTTATATATTTAATTTTCTGTAAGTAGGTATGCCTTGAACGAAGTCATGTGAGCTGTCTTAGTAACATAGAACTCGAGTGAATTTAAAGATTTGTTAATACATCTCTACTGAAATATAAGAGAGTGTTGTCAATATTATGTTGTGAAATGTTTAGCAATGCTATCGTCAGCTCGTCGCTGTGTTGTGGCAACTGTCCAAACAAATTCATAGCTTCGGTACTTATTCATTAATTTTAGAATAATTATAACACGTGTAACTAAAATTATCGAAGTAATATATTTTTAAATGTCCATAAAATAATATTGTAATTTAAAATAAATCATAAATCGTTTGTCTGTCATAAAATCATTTTAATACAATTCAGTAGCAAGCAATATGTTAAAATACACGCGATAAAACTTTATTAGTTAAAACGAACAAGTACGTGTAAAGTAAGTTCATTTTGTAAAGGCACGCGGCTTTCAACAGGTCGAAAGTTCGACGGTCGTTAATTAAACAATCTAAGCCGCGCTACTCGAGTTGGCTGCTGGCCAACATCGGCGAATTAATAAAATTGCTACAGACTGAAATTATTTCATGTTTATAATGCTGTTTGTTATTTATTAACATTTTTTTTTATTGCAATGATTTATTATATTTTAATGATCTTAAATAGATAATCTTCTTCGGGTTTAGAAAAGTCATTTTTAAACTGAAAACGAGAATGTTCAGGCTCTATTTAACAATAACAACATTGTTATTGTTTAAAATCTTTAAAAAATTTACATGACGCAGTACTCTGTTTAGAATTTTATTTAAGGATTTGTTTCAGAGTCTTCTCATTGAATTTATCTATCTATATTTATAAAAGTCAGTTGACATTCGTTAGTCTCGCTATAACTCAAAAACGGTTGGACCGATTTAATAATTCTTTCTTTGTTTCGTTGGAGATGTGTCAGAGGTGGTTTAAGTATAAAAAAAATAAGGAATACCCATAAGAACTGCTGGAAAATCGAAAAGTTCAGAGATGTTTATTTTGTATGTGAATAACTACTTCGGATTACTTTAAAATAAAATTAAACTTTATAAATGGCGTCAGTGGCGGCAAACCTATCATCTACAACAATGCCTCAAGCTTAAGTTTAAAAAAATAATAATATATAGTTTCATACTAACTGTTCAATGGTACCCGAGAGAAGCGAGGATGAGTCGCTAGTATAGAATATTTGTCGCTAGTCTATTTACTATTCATTTAAAAATATGTTAAAGTTACACATTTTGTGATAAAAAACAACTTAATCTCGAAACGTTTAAAATGTTTAAACATAGTTTTATGGCGACGACTCCCAAAATATATCACTTCAAACATAATGAGTTCGAAAATAAAGCAGTGAAACTCGCTCGTCTCTCATCAGAGTGCGGCCGATAGACTCTTGTTAATCTTAAGTCCCGGGCGTCGAGCCAACTCGATTAGTACTCTTAGAGCTCACGTTCTGACGACAACGTTTCCACCTTTGCACAACATTGTTTTATATTTTAAACAATTTAAAAAATTAACGTACCCATTTATTTCGTGTCATTCAATAGTTATAATATTATTAGCCAAATAGTTGGCAAAAATATTGCTTTAGAATATTAGCAGCTGAATGCGATTTGTAACTTTTGGCCGTGAATCAACAATCTCATGAATTATTTAAGACATTCAATTATAGGTCACGCGATGGAAAGGAGAATATTTTAAAGTTACGCAACGACTGTATCTTATACACATTTAGTAGATATTTTAATTTGTATTATATTTAGCCCTTTTAAACGTCCCATTGCTGGGTACAGCTCTCCCTTCATTACGAGGAGGGTAGGGCATAGTCCACCACGCTGGCCAAGTGCGGGTCGACGGACTTTGTTAGATTTTTTCCTTTACATGACGAAAAACGTCGTGCCTATCTATGATAGGCAATTAAAAAGTATATCATATCAGAATTATATTTTACATTAAAAGATTAATCCAGATTGTCGGGTTCGTATTCATTCAGGTCGCTATTGGGAATATAAAATTTACCTATGTATATCCGTATTGACTGCTGAACAGCCCCCAAGGAACCGGCAAAACGTAATATCGCCCTCTCCCTATAAAACACTTTAATTTAAATAAAAAAGCGGCGCCACCTTCCGTATGTCGGTCCTTTTTTTATTGCGAACCTTTTTTATTTTCGGGTCAGCTAGGGATCAAAGGGAGATTCCCTCGAGAGCGGCCGCCTGTACGCCCTCGCCCTCCTTGTCTGATTTGCGACCATTCCGTAGAGCGCCGATTTGTGAAGAGGGAATACTTCTCAAATTGGGGACTGTTTGCTTGCCTATTAAAATCACTTATTTCTTCGCCAAAACGTCTCGTTTTCTTTGTTGTTTCATTTAATTTTTTACATTTTATAACTTGTAATAATTTGTCTATGAAAAGAGAAATTATTTTATATCTCTCACGATAAATCTTAAGTATCTCCTCAATATATTAATACTTATAGAAATATAAACACATAGATCATATATACATTGTAAATACCAGATCTTTAATATCCGTAAACACTTTAACAATAGATAAATTACCTACGTGGCAACTTTATCGATACGTTTCGGAGGTTTATCAATTCTCGTTTGGATTTTATTCCGCATCACTAAATTGAAGGGGTGGGGAGAGCGCCCTCCCGAGGTAATGGCTTTTTGATACAATCTCGTTCTCATGTTCACCTATGACACAATTGTTCACATTGAAACAATATTCACGTAACTTCAACAGATCGGTAAAACGTGCGACCTCGTGTCACAGTTACGCGTATCGAATCGGATAAGAAATTTCATTATTACTGAGTAATCGAGTAAGTATTCAAAATGTCTTATTTGTTTAGTAGTTTAAATGCCTCATCGTTAGTATAAACTACATAAGTAAGTGTATATTATGCGTAGTTTATGCAATATTATCTCAAAAGATATTATGTGAACAAACACGAGTGCTCGCCGTGCAAATAGACCATATCTGTTTCCCCGTCGATGACTTTATAAACAAGCGAGTGGTGAAAACGTTTCTATCTAGTTTACGCCGAGCGGGTCCCGCGTTCTCTGATAAAAATTACGACAGGAATAAATCAAGGAACGTAGTAGCGTGGGTGGCTGGGGAAGCATGAATTTGTCATTTTTCCTAGGCACGTTCGTGGCCCAGCTATAAATATTGCATTGCATTTGTTCTGTGTTATTTATACCCATTAGCTTTGCATTAAGTGTGATAGTGTGAATATTTTATCTTTGATAAATACTTTATAAAATAGCGATGTTTTCATTAAAATGTTTGAATTATTACAAACATACAACATGTTTATTTTAATATGTTTAGATTTATCAAAACAACATTTAACTCCACTTATAAATATTATATATATATATATATATATATATATATATATATATATATATATATACATATATATATATACATATATATATATATATATATATATATATATATATATTAAGATAGTTATGTGCGTTCTTTTGTAATTATTACGTAATAATTTTGTTCATTGATTACATTATCTGAAACTATAAACAAAATATTACGTCAATTCATTAATAATAGTGAGTAAAACATTTGATATTCAAAATCTATTGTGTATTGAGTTATTTCAAATAAACCTCGAACCACATAATAGGCATGAATCCATTAAGCGATGTGAAATGCGATGCCTCTGATTTATTCGATCCCGCATTCGGGTATATGTATGTGATTAGACGCAATTATGTTGAAAGCTTATGTTGTAACAAGTGTTGGCGTCGCGTGCCTGTCGGGATCGAACTCTGTACCTAATGGTGCGTGCTCACCCCTCCGTCCCCTCATCCTTTACCCTCTTTGTAGATTACACCGCTCTCTAAGCGAATACAACAGTCTATAATTTGATCAAGTCTTGATGTACAATGTGCAGCCCTCTGACTTACAAGTTTTTTAACTTAATTTGGTACAGCAATGCTTTTGAATTAGATTAAGGTAGGTACCTACTGTTATTGTGAGGAAGTGGAAATCTATACAATGACTTTAATACTTATAGGTGGATACTAAATAATATAGAGTTAATAAAAAAATGTGAATGATTAAGAAAAATCAATTTAATCTAGTTGATCTTAAGTGTACATAAGAGATACTAGCGTTTTCATGCGGCTCCGCCCGCATAGTTCATTAATCACCAGCATATCATATACTAAAACCTCCAAAACACGCTGCATCTTATGGTATGAGTATTATTCCGATCGGTTCAGTAGTTATCGCAGTATAACCAGTAAGTGAATCCAAATAAATAAATAAAAAATAACCGAACAAAAAAATCCAGTAGCTAATGCTATTTGCTAAATGAAAATAATCTAACACAAATTTATTTATTTCTATTTCATAAAATGAACATTCAATGATTTTTATAACGAGTGTGAAAGTGAACAAAATGTAAACAGTATATGCAAAACACCTAACATTCGACAAATATTTGATAACCCATATGAATGAAACAAGTGGTATCACACACGAAAATAAAGCGTAAAATGTTTTGAAATACACATTTCAGTGGTAGCGTTTTACATATATCCAACGCGTATTAATATTCGTAAAATGTTTCAGCGAGGTTTCATGCGAAAGGAAATATTTAGAGTAAAAATCCACGCTCGAACACTATCCATTTATAAACGAAGAATTATCCGCGGGTATATGGGGAGAGTAAATGTGCCGTGAAAACCCAAACGCGTACGAGCATTTTTTCACGACAAAAGCTTTTCACGCAACGAATAAACGACATTATACACAGCGTGATACGTAATATAGAGTTACAAACCCTTAGTCTGGTCGTATTCAAAATGAAGTTCTTTACTTAAACATTTTTTTTATGTTTGTTTAAATTATTTATGAATAGTGCCTACTTAAAATAAAGACAACAAATAAATGAATAATAATTTAGCAGATACATTTATGAATTTACAAATTTTAATATCCGCAAGTATAAGTACTTAAAGCATATTGAAAAATAATCTCCAGTTGTTGACATAACCGAAACTTCAGCAAACTTTAATTTCGTAGATAATACAAACACCAAAAGTCAGCGGCGAGATAAGTAAACAGATAGCAAAGTCGTTAAGAGTAACGAGTTTCGATCCCCCACGACCCGCTGGTATTTAATCACTTCTAAAGTAAAATGCATTTCGAAAAAAATATCGCGGTGAGATATGAACGACATATTATTGTCATTCATAATAACAAGAGAGTTGAGAGGTATGGGGACGAGGTGGTGGGAGAGGAAGGAGAGCGGAGGCGTGAGTCTCAATAGCTCGGGTCGTGTCATGCCAGCCGTTTCGACGCGCCTCGGCTTTGTTTAGATTCCTCTGGTTTCCCACCCGGCTTTTCAGAAGCAACACCTTTAAACTTCAAGTGAATGCTCTTAACTACATCTTGTGCTGATTATATCAACATTAGATTGCGCACGCTTTTTTTTTATTATTAAATATGAAATTATAAGAATGTTACCTATGTTAGTAGCTCATATAATATGTACCTACTATTATATAAAAAATAAATATTTTTAAATAATATTTATACCCGTTGAAAAAATCCAGTTTTCGTTAATTCTTCATTTTAAAAATATACATATTCAGATGCATTAAATATATAAAGTTTACTTTATTATACTTAGTCTATACATATATATATATATATATATATATATATATATATATATATATATATAATAAAATGATACGTACCGTACTTAGCGAAATCTGTACATGAAATATTTTTTAAAAACAATGATTGTAACAAAAGTATAGACTACAAGACAATAGCTTTAAAAATTTTTGTCAGTATATCTGTTTGTCTCTTTGTGTGTGCGCGTTCCACGCTAAAAATACTAAACCGATTTTAACTAAATGTTGTGTAGCGATAACTTATTATATTCGCACGGGAAAACACTATTTTACAATAACTGGTTCTATCGAGTCGTCATTAAAATTCTATATGACTGACGCTGGCGAAACCTTCAGAGATATCTATCTACATCAAAACAATATGTCTACTAGAAAATTGTAAATCATAAAAAGGCCTGCAGAAAAATCTGCAATAGCAAAGTCTTTCTTTAAGGAACATTCGCAATAACTATTGATATCTATTGAAAATGTACCTAGAGACCAACCCGAGCGAAACAAAATTAAGTCGCTAGTACATAATAAAATAGTTGTTGCGAAATGAAAGAAATCTTTAGTACTAATTTAATTTAAAATCTTCCTCATAAAAACGTAGGTACTTGAGCTAAGTGGCGCTCGCCACCTTTTGACACACAATAAATCACAGCCATGAGCGGCCAATAAAAAATATGTTCCACCCTCGGCGAAAAACCAATTAATTTTCGGCAGCTAAATAAAAGATCGTGACCGCCCGAGCGGGAAAAAATCGAGCTAGCTGGAGTGAACACGAACGAACGGGCGCGGGAGCGGAAGCGGTTAGCGGGGGAAGCCATTGAAGTTCAGATGAGGGACCTGCCAGCTCCGTATAATAATAAAGTTAAACGTGACGAGATAGAAATGGGAAGCGCGGGAAAACGAGGGAAGTGGAAAAAGGGGAATAATGGAGAAGGAGTAATCAATTTCGCACAGTCGTCGCCGGCGGCGGCGAAGCTCTCATTTAAATTTTAAAACGCCACGATGCTGGGGGTCCGTGGAGGACTTTTTAATTTGCCTCGGTTCTGTTTTAAAAATGCACGGCGTTCTGCGGTGACACATCAATTCACTTTGACCGTCGACACTCTGAGCTTTCGAATGTGTAGAATTTTATTCATGTTCTTTTTCCTCTAACAACGTATTATATATTCTATTTGAGAAAAAAAATATAATTTATATAGATTATTTAGTATTGAGTGGTTATCAATAATATACTGAACGATATTAACCTTTTTTATGTACCTTAAACTGGATCATTTCTTCATAAATAAACATTAATTTTATCTTGTAAATAAATAAAATAAGTAGTCCATACATGTATGTAATTAGATGTTAACATTTACGAATGATTCGGTACAAACAAGTTTTCTTTAATGTCAACGAGATTAAATATAGGTACCTACATTTAATGATCTTGCATATACCTATTTAATGACTAAGTGGGTATATAACATATACCTATTTGATGAATTGGAATTAATGATTTGGGAACCTTGTCTATAAAAAAAATTGTTTTTTTTTTAAATGTAGGTATATTACTATCTTGTCCATGCTATGTGACATTCGCGAGGTAATCTGTGCTCAACTGTCACTCTTTGAAGCCATTAACAAGAAAATTGAAATTTATATTTTGTATGTTATTGCAATTACGCTGAATAGATTTAATTATTATTTATTGTAAACTCGACTACTGGAGACTAGTATCCATTTTAATTACAGTAGCTCTCACTTACAAATAATAATTATAGGAAGCTAAATATGCATCGGTATTTACATTTAATAACGCACGCTGAAAAATTATTTAAGTAGTCATATATCTTCTTATGTTACTATCTATCAGCTTTAAATATAGAGTAACTTACTTTTACAAGTTACATTTTCAACTTATTAAAAGGAATTATTAAATATTCATAATAATGTTAATTGTTCGCAGCAACAAAGGCCTGACCTCCCTCGGCTACTGCAGCAAATGCATGCAGCACATTTACCTGCACACGGGGCGCCACCACTGCCACTGCTAGGCCAGGGTGCCCTTCCGCCAGCGGGTCTCTTGGGCCTCGGCGTGCCTCACCATCCCCTTTCCGTACTCGCGAAACCTCCAGACATACACCGACCGGACGATAAAGGCAACGGTAACATATCTTAAATATCTTATCCAATATTAATAAATCTACTGTAACACGGTTTAATTGCCACCATCATAACTATATTCGCTAGATATAAAAGTTAAAGTGGCAAAGTTGGCCCGGAAATTGACTCATCAAAAATTCATAATATAATCTCTCATGTGTTTGAATATCCGAAACCTGGATGGAATGTTTTTGGAAGTATTTCTGTTATATTAGTGTTCTTTTGATTTTATAATGTAATAATTATTACTAGGTATGTACTTATTTATAATGATTTTGGCAATTTTACTAATACTAACGCTCAAACCATTATAGGGTGTGTGAAGGTAACATATCGTTTGGATCAATACATAAGATGAATATTTTAAAAGCTGTCGTGTGTTTGTGATGCTCGTCTTGTTTGCCATGCGCCACTCACTGGAGACTATTAGACACTCGCCCTCCCCCATTCACCTTCGCTAGCAGAGCAGACGTCTCCGATCCCACTTCTGTTTCAATATTTACCACCTACAAGAGCCTTTTTGAACTCACTGTTTGCGTGTTTTCGGATCGCTGACGGCTATGACTCTCTCGATATTGCTTTGAGAGCATGAATAAGTCACTTCTAAGAACTGATGCCTACCTATCCTAATGTTTACATAGGACATGTAGGTAAACACACATTTTAGATATACTCGTATGTATTGACAAACTGAATAAAATGTTTTTTTCGATGTCGTTGTCGCTTTGAACTCTATATTGAGATAAGTGTTCAAATAGTTTTACACACGAGGTTCAAACATTTAACGAATGCTACGTGAAATCTGGGAACAAGGGCGCGCCGCAAATGAAAATGTAACACAGAAATGGATTTGGAAGCCACCCGTCGCTCCGGTTAATTACAAAAGCAAGCGGTAATCTGCGCTCCGGGATGTTCCGGCTTAGTGCCCCCTCAACCACCCCAAGCTCCTCCGCCTGCCACTTCCCTGGCTAATTTGTGCCATTATCGGTGTACTGATGTAAGAGTTACCGTGCAGATGGCCCCTTCGCCCTCCTCTACCCGCACCTTGCCCGCGCCCTATTAATTATTCCTTGCTGGTGTGAGCGTCGCGTGTTTTAGTCAATTAGTAACGTAATTTTGCGGGTGACTTGAGTATACGCCCGCGCCCCGCGGACCGGCTCAAGCGCTACGTTTTAATGCTCAAATTAAACATACCTACTTGGATTCTAATGATTAATGTGTACTCAACTATGTACTCGCGGTACGACTATTTGTAAATGTTATGCTTTATTATTTACATACTTCTCTCTTACTATTAACTTTTGTTAGATTATATAGATACACTAGCATTGCCCGCGGCTACGCCCCCGTTCAGATGACCAAAAACCAAATTCTTAGGTTTTACATATTAGTATACTACAATATACAATGCAGTTTTTGTATTTTTTCTCAGAAATGAGATATTTTCCCGCGGTAAAAAGTATCCTAATATATGTTGACCCGGATAACCAGCTATCATCATACCAAATTTCATCGAAATCTGTCCAGTGCTTTTCTCGTGATGCGGTAACAGACAGACAGACAGACAAAAATTCTAAAAACTATAGATTCAGACTATGTATCGATAATAATGTCTATTTCAATTAGATTTCCCAAAAAATATTTAATGTACAGATTCGACTTAGTTACAATTTTATTAAGTATAAAATGTATAGATAATTAATATGAAATTGAAAATATTACTTTACATTTTATAATGTGCTTATAATAAGTTTGTGTTATAAATTAATTACTTATTGTACAACATTGATATGATAAATTCCACATTTACCCTCGTTTGACTATTGTTGCGGTATGTTCCAATGCGCATTCCGAATTTGCGTGTATCGATAGATAGCGACTCTATGGCCAATAATTGAGGCTATTGCATTTAAATTAATTGAAACTATGCATGCTCCGTCGCGCCCTCTGCTTTGTATTAACAAGGTAATATCTATGCAATATATGCACATAATCACAGACATATTGGGTCGGCTATTGCTCACAAACTTAGCGAATTAACCGATTGAAGATAATGCCTTTGATGCTCAGTATTAATATACACGGCCGTGCACAGGAAAACGTAATATCGATGGAATTAACACACATTGTTGGGTAAACGTGCTCAAGTTGTACAATCATGTTTTATATTCGCTTCTTTAGATTGTGCTTCCTCCATGTAAATTAGAGAATATCATGAATATTAATGGCGTATAAAATGCTTGGCTGTGTGCATGTGTATTATAATATCATTTGTATTCCGTCCCTGACGATAGAGTTAATCGTATTCGTTCACATTATACCCTAAATTGACTCGAACGTTAGTGGCAAAACACAATAAATTACCGATGGTAGAGACTTAGACTAATTTGACTCGTCGGTCGTAGTAGACATGGCCTAGCTTGTGTTAAAGCTAAATTATAGTGACGTGTGTGCTGCATAATCTCTGCATATGTTCAGGGAATTGCGCTGTTATCATTTGACATAGCAATAGCTCGGTATATTACTATATATATGTATTATATATATGTATATATATATATATATATATTATATATATATGTATATATATATATATATATAGTTTAAGATTCTCTTTGAATGATTATTATGTTTTGTTAAACATCTACTCCCTTTATTGTTTAATAAAATAACAAAGTTAAAAAAACTATTCCTGAAGCCAGTCCTGTATAACATCTAAATATTAATTATCAGTATTATCAATATTGTTATTATCAGTAGTTTTGCAATTATTATCAGGCTATTTTAATTAATATTTTTGTCATAAGCCAAAATTAATATTCGTATACATTAAAACTTTTTATAAGAGTATCTTTGTACTATACCGTACTACTAATTGTGACCTTACTTTGGATAATAAATATCTTTCATTTTTAATAACAATAAAAGAGATGTGTCGTATTTGAATATCATATATTTACTTCCCAAAGGTTTGTAGTACAAATTAAATTACACTTCGTCCAGAGTTGCGTGACGCGCCGACAGCTCTTGCAATATTTATTCGCCACTCCATCCGCTGATCAGGACATTTATACCAATGAACCGATAATCTCTTTAGCTTAAGCTCTTTTAGTTCATTTATAATTCCTTTAAACTTAGTCGTTATTTCCTTTTTGGATGGTATAAAAATGTTTGTTTTTGTTACTCACGGGTTTGATTACGTGTTACGTAGAGTCGCATTGGTAAAATGATTGTATTAATTATGATAATGTCTATTATGAAATTGTTTTCGATTAAATTAAGAAAAAATCTTTTTTGCAACCGTAGTCCACCTATCCTTAATATCTATACTATCGCTAGTAAAAAGAGTTAGAAATTGTTAGATACGTTCTAAAATCTAATAATGAGAAACTTAAACTATTTTTAAGTATAATAACCATCTAAACCTTTGTGTCTAACATGGTGCTTATTGTTCACAGGTATCAGTTCAGCAGAAGAACGGCATGTGAGTACTAACAGAATTCCAATTTCACAAAGTTGAAGTTGTTAAAATTTCAACGACAAAATTTCGCTTTGAAAAATTCTCGTAGAGGTGTACTCTACGTTCTGCTTTTTCCATTTGGGAATGCGAACGTGGAGAGGAGTGTTGTGCTCGAACGCGTTGATTTCATAACACGGCCCTGACTGAAACAAGTGGGTGGTGCAAGTGGCACACCCCGCCTAGGGCTGTCATACCGAACAGTTACACATCAAGATATTAAATTTACTCTAATTATTTTTATATATAACACATAATATAATAATATGATTTCGATACAAAAATATATTTAAATTTTAAATTGACATAAGTTCTTAGGCATTTACATGTAGATTGTCTATAGTACAAAATTACAAAAAAAATCTAGGTCATTAAATAATAAGTTGTAGGTAAAAAATTAATATAATATACCTAAATAGTATAAAGTTTGAGGTATTTTTAATGTCGAATAATGCCATGTTATTATGATTCTATTATTATTTATGACTTTTTTCTAATGTTTTATTATTAGATATTATTTTTTATGCGCGTAAAAAAAAAATATGCCTTCTTTACATAAAAATACAAATATAGTGGTCAATCTACATTTTATCAATCTTAGCTGTTATATAACAAGATTAATACCTATAAATACATATATTTGTCAACCCTATATTAAAGTGAGCTTGCGACCGAGTGCGTCGCTCGCGAGGTGTTACGAATGTCGGCTATCGTGCTAGCGCGGTGGTGGCAGCGGCAGTGGGTGGCGTCACCCCGTGCGGCGCGCCGCACAGATGTGCCACTCACCATCCGCCACCGCTACCGCCATCGCAACTGCAAGCGAAATGCATGCGAATCGATATCAAGCCCCCGCTTCATAACATTGTCTTTGTTGCTTAACCTACTTCCATTCTGTTCCACGTATTCCGTTTTGACATTTCAATTTATGATAATTCCACCATAAGTTAAATTTAAATTATAATCCTAACAAAAATAGAGTGATACTCCAAACACTTTGATCTCCTCAAACTTCCGGATTAAATGTGAAGTAACGAAAATATTTTTGTAAAGAAAATTTTCAATTCCATCTCTTAGCAAAAGAAAACTTTCAATGATAAAATAAGTGAGCAACTTATTCCGGCAAGTTGACTTGAGGCTATAAGAAGCGGCGTGGTGTGAAACCGATACGTAATGGCGGACTGGGTTGCCAGTCTGTTCACGGAGCCGTCGATCTGTGCAAACACGCGGTGAACTAAGTAATGCACCGGCGCGTCTTACAATTCGAGGCGAGGGAGGGCGGGGAGAAAGCAAGATTTAATAAAGTTTACATAATCCATTATGGCTGAGGCAAGGGGGCGTTATGTTACTCTCTTAGCTCGTGCCTAGTTTGTCCGGCAAATGTTATTACTACAAATCACAAAGATGCTACATTGTTGCAATATTAAAAGGTATATTAGGTACTTTTACTAATAAATAAAAAAAAAAACAATATATTCAACATAAAACATATCAATATAAAACATATATTTTGCAGTCGACTTAGGTTATGATAGATTTAACATAAAGGTCTAGGTACAAAGTGTCTTAAATTTTCGTATAGTGAATTAACTCTGCTCATTTATTACCTGCCTAAAGAAATTAAACGGGTCTTGCACAGCCCTTCTCACAATCTCATTTGGTAGCAAAATAACAGCGGATTTATTTTTGCCACGCATTAATTCGCGGCTGAATCGGGCCTAACATTCAATTTAGCGCCCAAACCACACAAAAACTGCTCGGAGCCGGTTCATTACGACGCGCATCTCGCCTCCTCCATCCTTACCTTATCAAAGCTACTTTGAATACCACCCCCGTGACCCCTAAACCGCCCAGTTTTCGCTCACCACTTCAAGTGAAAACTCACAGGGCAAAGACCGCTCTACCTTGGTTAGCATTCTCTTCGAGTTCTTTATTAAATAGATAGCCGAAAATGTTCGATCAGAATAAATTTTAGATTCTTTCCTGATACTGCCTACCTATATAGTTTCGTTTTTTTATAGCAGCTTCAAATTTAATTAAGTAGCGTCATACAGTGTGTTATCATGCGGTTTATTTATGCCGACAGGGTTTAGTACTTCATTAAACCAGAAAGACAAAATATAAAGGTGCTTTTACACGGGTGGCCACCTTACGAAACATGTTTACGCGTAGTCGGCGTGTCGCGGAGTCGTGCTCATTCTACACCGCCGGTGTACATTCTCGCCCGAGACAACCCTCGCAATTTATCGCTCGAGACTTTTCTTAATTGGAAAGAATGGCCACTTGTAATTATTAAGACGCCCTAAAGTGAAACAGATTGCACGATAGAAGTGTTCGTTATTTTTTTTTTGTTTTTCTCTTTAGACTAAAAATAGAAATTCGTCTTTTAAAGCGAATTACTTTTGTCCTTTTATGTTTTTGTTTGTCAAATACATATATATTGTAACTGGCAATATGTTGTTAGGCACTAAGCTTAATATACTTTCTACTAGGATTATTATTTATGAGTATAACGATTTTATAAGATAGGTAGGTAGGTAATAATGAGACATATATCTCTTACACAGTAGGTAAATAAAAAAATCACTTAGACAAATAAACTAAGTATTTATCGCACCTTTTACGCGAAAGCTTTATGCTAATGCTATGCTAATTTATATTGCATTTAATATTTCAATGATGGAATATCCCTTATAGTTACGTACTTTAATAGATACCTATTGAAACATTCTCATGAAAATATTTGTACTTAGGTATTTGTTTTATTAACCACTCACAATAGAGTGCGTTCAAGATTAAAATTTTAGAGTATATAATATTAATCTTTAAATGATTTTATACTTTAAGGCAACATTTACTATTGTCTAAATATTTAATATTGGCAGCTTTTAGTTACGTAACGGCACGACTATTTGAGATCAAAACCACGCTTGTTTTATTGGAAATTCGAGAGCTTTGATAAGTGAGTAGTTGGTGGGTTTACATAGCAATATAGAGGTAGGATGCTACGATATTGCTCGTCTCGGCTCTGCGGCTTTGTTCTGATCCAGCGTATCGCATAGATTTATGCAAGCTTGATCGAATCGCGCCCACCGCCCGCGCCTCTGCCACTACCTCCGCTGCACAGTGCGACATACATGACAAAAGTGTTATTGCATTCCTTGGCACATTCACCTGCAAACGCTCTTATATAAGTTTTTATTTATTTTCCTGTAAAGCAAATTTATTTTAATTTTAAGTCCTTAAAGCAATAAATATTCGAAAATTTAACACTCATAAAATGAATATTTTACATGAAAAGTCGATTCAAACGTTTAATAAAGGTAATTAATAATTATATTGGCTGATAGTATTATTAATCAGGCAAAAACTTTCAAAAGGCTTTCAGTTAAAAATTACAATCAACGCAATTTCGATTAAATTAAACACCCTGTAATTGAAAACACGCTACGGTAAGTCCAACCTTTCGCGCTAAAATTCCATTTGTGAATGCAATCATGGCTTATCAATTCATTGTTGCACGGCAGCCGGCAGAGCGTGGCCTGCGTAACGACACTGGTACTCTCCGCGATTCAATATTCCCACTCAAATATCCAATATGCTTTCACTGACATAAATCGAAAGTGCAGCAATAATATTTTATGTTTGTAGTTTATAGAGTTCTTTTGCTCTCTTCTCGCACTTTATGACAATATATTATTTTCAACCGACTTCAAAAAGGAGGAGGTTCTCAATACGAAAGCCAAAGCACACCGACTTCGAAAATATTTAATTAGGTATGTATAGTAAATGAAAACTACCAATCAATTATTTTTTACTTTTTAGTGCTTTTGTTTGAAGTCGGTTTTTATTTATAATAACGTAATAACTAACGTATGAACGCATTTTATAATATAACAATATTATCATTAGGTATGTGTAAATAACAAATTAGAAATTATAATTGTATTTTAAATTTTTGATTTGATTACAGACAGATTAGGTACATATTATAATATTTTTAAGTAATTTGAGTAATTGAGTAATAATGAGTGAGATTGAATCTGCCCGATGAAGACATGTCTAAAACATGAAGACGGCAGTAGACCACAAGTGTAATGAGCGTGCTTCGTACGCAGCACTCGTTGTACTCTCTGGTGTTGCGGAGTTGCGGTTGCGGCCTGCACTACATCGTGTGAGGTCTTATCTCACAAAAAAACTACCACTGTAACCTACAACACTTAAATAGTATCTACTTATGTAAATGTATACTTTAATAATATTTATTTTCATTTAATTACAATACCGTTTCAATTCCTACAACCAGTATTTCATAAACAAATAAATAAACAGAACACAGCATTCGGATAATTGAAATCGCTGCAAGTAATTAGCAGTTAGGCGGGCGCGATAGCTCTCGGCTCGGCTCACGTCTTCATAATTTATCTCAATTAGTTGGCAGCGTAATGGGCGGAAGGGCGGCGGACGCGCTTACACCGTACTCACTGTTTATACGATCTAGCTGTATGTTTATTTACGTCATTATTCTATTATTTACGTATTCAAAAACAGTTTAAAATTTAATTTGAATACTTGTTATAATGCTAAGTGAACGTAACTAAGAAGTCATTTAAAGCTATTGTTCTTCTACATGAGGTCTTCGTCCTTTAATTTAACTATGGAATATTGGAAAGGCATTGTGTATTCGGTTTGTGATTTCACCCACAGCACTTGCTGCATTCGATGATATTAGTTCGAAACGACAAAGGCGAGAGAGGTGGAGGTCGTCGTATAGTGGAGTATGGGAGTGTAGGTCTGCGGTCGTTGCCGGCGTGTTTAACAATGCGGCGGGCATGCGGCGAGCGGAGAGCTGCGACGTGCGGTATGTCCCATATTGCCTCGACACGACTTGTTCGTGTACTTGGGACACGCTCGCACGTCGCACCGCCGCCGCCGGATCGTCGCATTGCCGCTCACCTCCTATGCACGCC